AAAAATTAACTATATATAATTAAAATAAGAACCGAAAAAAATAAAGACAAAAAAACTCAGTAGTAATATTTCTACCCGTATAGTTCTTGTCATCTGCACCAAATCTGTGCACATCGTTAAAAAAATACAGTTCAGAACCAAATGTGTGTCGACACACTACCGAATGTGTGTATACTTCACGCAGAGCCGACTGTTTGCATCGAAAAGTAGCACTCTACAAACTATTATTCAAATCGTGAGCATCAAACGGATAATATATTTATCGCGCTATGCCTTCACGTACAAGATTCCGCTTTTGGAATGGCAGATCCTTTGTCGACTGCTAATTGGTGTCGGGCGCATTGAGGTTAATGGCAATTGCCCTTTTTGCTCTGCGACCGGCACTCCCAGGTCCCCAAATGAATATCTTTGCGCCAGAAATTTTTGACGGGAGATGTTCCTGCAACGGCAGCTAGTTGATTCAACCTGGATCTCTGTGATTTTCAAGTTAAAGCACGGAAGGGATTCAAGCAAATGAGATTCATCAATGTGTTTGTGCTTGCTGAAAATGAAGTGATACAAAGAAAATCAGTTTTATTTGCATTATAGTTTCTTCCGCATCTGGAAAGAATAAAATATTTTTCTATCGTATCAAAAGTTGAAGATGCTTGTTAAAAACCATGGGAACCCAGGGCGCAATAATATAATAGGTTTTTGGTTTTTATTTTGTGCAAATTGATACAAATTTTTCTTGTGAATTGTAAAAACAGATTTGCAAAATAAAAAATTTCTTACCAATGTGTTGGAATTTCTGAGCGTCACACTTTCCCGTCGCCAAATTTGATGTCAGTATTGGAATGATTAACACTTTTAACGCTAATCTAATTATCTAGTAGACATAATAATATCGATATTATTTAATTCGTTATATAGCGAAATGATCGTTGTAGAATTCATCTAGTGTGAAAACACCCGGGTCTCTTACATTCCACGGGCAAAGTAAAAAAAGAAAAAGGAAACATTAAGTAAAAAGAGACGATATATTATGAATGGACATTTTGCACTGCGAAGTACGACGTGACCTAAATTCACAATCTAGGTTGTTATATGAATCAATAAATTATATGACTATAGAACCAACCATATACGAAGAGACCAAAGCATGCACAACAAATTTTCAACGACCCGAAAATAATTCGGGTCAGATACCAGAAAAGCACCAAGTGTGAAAGCTGTACATTTTCGGCACACAAAACCTTATGGAGATTATGTATTACACATACTAATGCGTTGCTTGAATTTTGTGTTAAAGAAAAAATTTTATCGTTATCGTTATTTACGTTATTTAATGGGGGATCGTCTATCTGTATTACTGTCTATGTTATCTTTATCGAAAATCAGAGTTTTGGACAAAGGATGAAACCTCAGAATGGTTCATTATTCTCACTTATACATGCTGACGAACATAACAATTATTTACGTTTTGAACTAAATTACACCGCCTTTTTTTCATCGTGGCATTTATCATGAGAATTATTCGATCTTTCTCCACATACGTATATACAAAAAAGGTAATTACTGTTTTTTTCTCTATCTTTGATATAGAACGAATAAAAAATATATACTAACGCAAACAAATGCATGTCACAAGATAAAAAAAGAATGAATTGTGATTATAGAAAATAAATTTTCCAAGGTATGAATGAAGATTTTTATTACCATTACACACGATACGTGTAATTACATCATCACATACAAAGGTCAAAAATATAAATGATATGCGTATATCTCTCATAAAATAGGGTTGACGATGAAACACGTCCTTTGGGAGCGGGGAAAAAAGGTAAAAATGGAATGAGTATCGTAATTATTCCTTTGTAGATAATGTATCTTAATATTTAAATAATATGTATTAGATAATTAAAAAAGCAACTTGCGGGGAATGATCGATGGTACTTTGCGCACTGTCATAAGATTATTTATTTTTGTTTAAGATTTGCGCATTGGGAAAGATTTTAAGATAAGCCTTTTTCTTGATCCCGAGTTTTGCCGAAGAACAAAGGCAGTGAACGAATTTGGTATCTCTGTCACGTTCGAATTAGCAGTTATTGAGAGCTTGCAAACAGTGTATGTTCTACCAATTCTATTGTTACTAAAGATATTCAAAGCGAATCCGTGATTTCTTGCTCGGTGCTATCAGCATTTAAATTTATTTCTTTTAGCATTTAAATAAATAAAACATAGATCTTATTTAAAATTGGTCGTAAATTTTCGATTCTAACGTCAATCTGTTGGGTACCTTATACACATGTGAACTATTATTCTTGCTATGCAAAAATGGCATTTTATTAAAATTAAACCGACTTTTCATCCATACTCAGTCAGACATAAAAACAGAATTTGACATCAAATTTGTTTAGTCTGTCGCGAAAAATAGCCGTGAAATTTTTCACATGATGCATTTTATTTAACTCTACCATAAATTAACTTCTTCGTTTGTTCGAGATAACAAAGAAATATCGCTTGTTCACAAGGACTTTGTTACACAGTTTCAAACCTGCGCTATTCATCACTACAGAAAACCCATACACATTCATAAAGTCTACATCTTCACCGCATTTATCCAAACCCTTAAAGCTTTACAGCAGTTTTGGATTTTATACTCAATAAATTTAACAAATCAATTCAAAAATCTTTTTTTAATAGAATCACGATATTTTCGTTATTAATGAATGAAAATAAGATATTGATTTGCTAAATAATGACGAAATCGGATCTTTATCTTTTGAGATTGGAATTAAGCTTTGGGCTATGTCATATCCCAATATTTGGCTAAGTTAGTTTGAGACAGATGTTAACTAGTTCAGCAAATGATTAAATTGCAGGAAAAACCTCCATATTTGTATTCATATAGCTCTCCCGCTGCACTGCTTTGTGTAGTCAAGAGCCTTTTTCCATTCGTATGTGGAAAAATCCCAAAATGCTTGCATGTAATCGTATAAAAATAGCGAATTCTTTTAAGTGCAGGTGACGAACGGATTTTTGAACTAGAGTAAAGCATCATCTTTTCCATGCGTCTAATACTTCCCAATCATATATTTTTGATTAGTATTGTACACGTTTTTGAACTTGTCTATGGATGTGATTTCAACGCTTTCTATTACGATGAAGTAGGATTGCTCTCACGCATAAAAAATGTAAATAGCACTAGCATATCATCCTTGGTTAAAGCTCTTCCAGACAACACTACCAGACTTCAGTGATAATATCAATTAATCACTGACACCGCCGAAAATTTATCGTAATTACAGACTAGTAATAAAAATTCGCTTGCCAATACTTTCGAATTTTGATTTGAGTTTCTTTTATGAATAGAAAATCGGACTTAATGAAAAATCCAGATCAATTAATCCCACAAAGATAAACATTATACGTCCCTCAGATTGATATTTTTATATATTGACGGAGGGTAAATGAGCATTCGTTTCAACGTGAGTAAAATTTGTCAAAAAAGCAATTTTATCTGAATTCGTTCAATGCAAGGGTAAATTTAAGATAGGCATATTGGAGTAATAATCATGCGTTTCTTCTTCATTTTTAGTGCGCTGCCGAGACCGTTTTTACCGTAAAAAATTAATTCTGTCATCTTTCTCAATCGATACCAAACGGTGTCTGCTTTATCTGCTAATATCGTTTCTAGAACTTGATCAATTAATGCTTGGAAACTGAAACATTCATAGAATGTGTAAAATATATTTAATGTTTTATCAATCAACCTTTTTTCCTTTTCAATTCAGAAATAAATATAGCAAAAATATACACAGTTACAATTTCTCGAATTTCTTCTGATTATGTTAAATTACTCGGATTTTATTCATAACTTTATTGTAGAGTTTTTATGCAATCCAGAATTCGTGTAATATGAGGTCAAAATCGAATAAATATTTTCAATAAATCACTGAATTTCAGGTTAACCCAATAAATTATGGGTCAAAGGCGGAAAAATAAATAATATCAATGCGAACTTGGCATTGATCCGGTAAATTTTAAGCCAATCTTTTAAAAATATGTAGCTTGATAAAGTTACCGTAGAACACTGTCAGGTATCATTCAGCAATTAATATTGATACTATTCACGATTTCATTGATGAAAAACGAGGGTACATTTCTGTATTGATTTTTTACCCTCCCCAAAAAATAATATATTACATGTATATCCTATATATCGGTATATAGAAATAATTCGGGTGTCGCCCAATATCCAGACAACCAAAATCTCGAATGGTACAAAGTTCAAGATTCCGAAAGTTTTGAGCTATTAATTAAATAACTAACATATTTTTTTATTAGTGCACCAAGTTAAATTTTTCCCATTTTCATTAAATTTTACCATCATTGGTCAATTAGCTATCCGACTAGTAAAAACTTGTTAATATCATTCTTGTGCCTTTATTAGCTTCAGACGCCGAGTTGTAAGATTGAAAGTCTTAAACCATCGAGGATTCGGGATCTTAGACTGGCGAGATTTTGTTGCATTCGGAATTTTGTTTGTCTGGCTTATGGACTATCGGGATAGATCATAAAATTCATCTATAAATTAAATCATAATTGTGTTTTCGCAAATTTCCAATAAATGTATATACTTTATTTTCACCAAATTCTGTCATTTTTACGCATTCTATCTTTAAAGGATTTGTTAGTATAAACACAAGTGATGTAAAACCATTGAATATAATTAAATCAACATTATTTTAGAATGTTTGCTTTATAATCTTCAAAACTATCAAAGAAGATTTTTCATTTAATTTAAAATGATTTTTCCATATTTTCCAAAGTTAAAATATCAATTCATCCAATCATTTTCTTATATTATAGCTATAATGTTAAAAAGATTTTTGAACTTATTTGTTTTTAATAAGAATTATAAATTTTAGTTCTATCAGCAAGAATTAATAAAAAATTTGTAAAAGCAAGTTTTATTATTTTCTGTAATACAAAGTTAGATTTATATGTATTTTTTTCTGTTATAAAATTATTAATTATATCAAAGAAAATTGAAGCTTTACATATTACAATTTATAATAAAGAATATCAATTTTTAAAATTATATATTTTAATAAATATCCTAATTTAAGATAAAAATATTTTAATATTACAAAAAAATTACTCAATTATTAGATTTTTTTAATAATTATCATATAATTATGGTTTAATATAAATTTTAATTCATTTATTAATTTATATAAAAACTAATTAATTATACTCAATTATTTTTATAAAAAGAATATTTGTTTATAAAAATTTATAATTAATCTTTATAAATTCAATAAGACTGTAATTATAATAAAATTTTATATATTAAGAAAATTAAAGCTCAATATTTTCATTTATAATTTAACATAATTAAATAGTAAGTTATTCAAATGATATAAATACTTATATACTGTATATAAGACATATCTATATAAGAATCAATCAATAAGAATCAATCAACAAGAATGTCAGTACTTGAGATTCTTATATATCGAAATCAAAGATCGAAACCATTTATTTGGATACATAAAATATAAGTCAAAAGATATCTTTCGAAAATACTAAGTTTCATTAAATTAACCACATAAAACTATCCAACTTTTTTTAAAACAAAAAAATTGAAAAACAGATTAGATTTGAAAAAAAATACAAGGCAATCGAGAAAAGATCATCTCGAAGGGATTAAAAATTTTTCCTACTTGTTTGTAGTACATGTACATATTCATACTTTTCTATTAATCGCATGTTTTCTGTAAGATAATGTGCATTATCTATTTTTTTCCCTCACCTTATTGTATTTCGGTAAATCTAACCTATTATGGAAACTATTTGTTAATCTCCTAGTATAAAATTAGCATGCTTTGAGGTCAGCTGTCATTAACTTTTCGGGAACTAGCCAAGAAAGAAAATTCGATCACGGGGAGTAAAATATTTTATCACTATTCCAAAACTTAAATTCGTTCTTTCACCTCTTCACATTATGCCTAGGATACACAGCAGCAATGAGTATACAATGTGTATGCGTGAGAAAAATACAAAATTTTTTACCCACGAAAAATTTTAAACTTTGATCTGTTTTTTCTGATCTGTTGTATGTTTCTTTCTGTAAAAAACCAATGCTGTCACCATTCCGTTTAACCGGCATAGCAATCATCCATGTGCATCGATGCATCTTTTCTATCAAAGATACATTATCATACAATTTTAAAGTTTCACGATTCGCTTACATATCGCAAAGAAAGAAAAAGCAATAATTAAGTGGGTTAATCGGTTAAACTTACTGGAATGTTTTCTTTGACTCTTTGTAAGTTAGTCGAGATTTGCAAGACAATGAAAAGCATAGATCATATAAAAAAATGCAGACTAAACACGTGCAAATCAACAATTTCCTCACTTGAGTAAAACATTAAAGTGGCTCATTTAATATGAATGAACCCAAAAACGTGGTAACAAAAGCCGAGAACAGAAAAGTTGAAAAGCGCTCATAATGTCGAACAAATTAGAACTTATGACTCCAAAAAAGAGAATTTGTTTACTATCTCTTCTCTGCTTTTTTTGTGCATCTCTGATTTTGTGATCACCGAATAGGTTACTATAATACTGTCGATTTTTAAAGAGACTTGCAAGATAACCGCCGAAATAATAAGGTCGGATCTTTTCTTGATTTTTCTCATTGTTAATCATATATTACCGTAATTCATTTATAGTTGCACAGTGACAGCAAACATCTTGTAATAAGGTCACCTGGTCATGCCTGTTTTTTTGTGTATAGGAATATCACTGTGCTGTATATACATGCGTGTATAATGTGTTATCATTGCTATCCTGGAGATGTTTTGCATATTCTATAGGTAGTTATTACTACGTACTCGCTTTGCTCAGCTGACCTTTATCATTATTGATCTTCTGCCTAAAAAACACAATCCTATGGATTATCGTTATGAATATAATTAAAGATAAAAAAAAATGCCTATAAGACGTAATACAAACAATGATGAATTTCTCCGTCATGACGTTTAAAACTCCTGCCTCAATACTAAACCTAACAAATAATCTTCAGATTAATACTCTGATTCAATGAACACACGCATACACGCATATACACGCACACACAGAATGTCTATAAATACAGAGGGTTAATTTTGGGTTGATTTCTTCCTCCTTTACTTACACACCCACATTTATTTCTCTTTTGCGTTGTCCCTTCCGCACAAAATTAAATAAAAAGAGGTATTCATTTCTTCCTGTCCTCTCTCTCTTTCTCATCATCATCATTATCACCCTACCCTTATTCTTGATCCTTGGCGACGACTACGATTATCAAATGATTATGTCATGATATCATATTGAATAACACCGTCCAAATCAAAGTGGAATAAATAAGTCGTCTTGCTGATTAATTATAATAATCCTTTCAGACAATTAATCAAAGAGAGTTATTAATTGATTAGTTAGTTGAATGATTGATTGGATTGATTGAAATTGGTTGATTGAATACCTCTTTTTCACTTTCGGTCTCGTCTTATTATATATTGTATCGCGTGATTTTTTTTGGTCAAACGCACACATATATATATATATTTATTTAAAAATAATATACGTTTAACAAGATAATTAATTGTTTTACGTATTAGGGTGTTTGTTTCTCCTTTCACTATTATTTTCGTTCTTTTGATTAGCACATATTTATTATAGTTCTATTCTGTGTTGTATGCTCTTTTCATCATTTCTTGTTTTCCTTCTTGAGTTATATATATAAATATAAAAAATCCATTTTTGATCTTTTAGCTTTTGTATATATTGTTTTGTAGTTACTGTACATTTTATATTCTATACATACACACAGACACGAAGTTAAAAATCTTTTTGTAATCAAAAATAGATCAATCATTGATTATTCTCTCTTCATTCTCCTTTTTTTTTTTATTCGACAATTACTTTGAAATCTTTGTTCGCGCGTAATTCAGCTCAAATGGATCTCGATTGGTGCCTAATATGTGAACAAAAAACTTTGGTAATTATTTAATTATCATTTGATTAACGGTTTCAACATAAATTCTAATAACAAATTTTTAATAAAATAGGGAAGCCTTTATTGTAGCGACGATTGTCAGCACAAAGATTACTTATCGGCGTATGATTTCCTGACCCCTCCCGCTTCACCGACTAATCATCTACCATCATCGACCATCGGTAGTATAAATCACGACAATGAAGCGAATGACAGCAACGACGATAAGAATCTGACGAAAGCAAACAAATTGATCGATTTGCTTATTCCCCTTTCCCCAAATCATTCACCGCCAAGAGATAGTACAATGACGACAATGTCTACTTCAAAAGTGTCGGTGCCAAACAATCCATCCAATGCGAAGAATAAAAAGATCTCTGCTACAACTTTTACCGTTATCTCAACAACCATTGATAAAAGTAACATAGATCCATGGGATACCAGACAACGTGTCTAATCCATCAAAAAACAAAAAAAAAAGGAAATTGTGTGTGCGAATACAAGTACAATATTATTCAAATTAGTAAATATTATACATACATAAATACATGCATATATATATATATATATATATATATATATATCAAAAAAGGGGTGCATTCGATACCCTCTTATTTTCTTTTCTTTATATTATATTATTATCGTGTGTGTCCTCTATCTCATATTATCACATCGAACTCTTTTTATCTTTTTTATCTATCAGTTTTTGTTTGCGTTTTATTTCGTAAATGTTTATTTTTTTTAGAAATTCGACTATCTTTTTATGATTTATTCTATTTTTGCAAAACTTTTGAGTTCTAAACTAGTCGATTATAACAACAACAACAACAACAACAACAACAACAACAACAACAACAACAACAACAACAACAACAACAACAACAACCACGACGACAACGACGACAACAACGACGACAATTAGTCGTAAAAAATATGCACCAAAATTTTCTGGCCGAACATGCTGTATATATGTAAATTTTTGTTTATACGTATATAATAATTACACAACACAACAACACAATACACTTAAGTTTTTTTAAATGTAATATTCATTTTAATACGACGATGCCATCAGAAACTATATGGGTAGAAATATTACTACTGAGTTTTTTTGTCTTTATTTTTTTCGGTTCTTATTTTAATTATATATAGTTAATTTTT